GAAAATGACTATATTTCACTATAGTGTTCCAATAGAGGATTAATATAGCTAGCCATACATGTTGACTGAATTATTATAAGTATAAATAACTCGAGTGAGGTGAAAGAAGGCTTTAACAGGTCAACCTAAAGAAAGAATAATGGGGGGAACCAGTCTACCAGACAACCTCGAGAGTAGGAGGATTTGGTGGTCTGTAGTAGCTCGAAGACGACATAAGGCGACCTAGAGAGTTCTAAGACGACCTAATGGGCGACGACATGGGGAAAGAAGACGACCTAACCTTTACAGGAAGGGTCAGGTGACTCGACCTTCTAGAGGACGTACGGCTCGACCTCTATCTAGAACCCGACAACGACTTAATTCACTCAATAGCTCGAGGTAGACCATCGGATCGTAGATCAAGTAATTTCAAGAAGAGTCACGACCTAAAGCCAAAAGATAATGAAGATAAGAAAGAATCTTAAAGGGATAAGAAGGAATCTTAAAGGGATAAGAAGGAATCTAAAAGTGACTAAGAGATAATTAATATATGGATAACTATCAAGTCGAAACAGTCGAGCAGGCTGCCCGCAGGCACCCGGACAAAGCATTTCGGGCAGGTATTTCCGTATATTCTACATACATTATACGTACAATTCCGGGAACTGAATTTTGGTTCAAATATATTCAATACCAAATCATTTAAATCTCTTATTAATTAATTTTTATTTTTTGATTAACTTATTTTTTTTTGTTGGACCTACTATTGGAAAGTGCCTTTAGACTTCCAATTTTTCAATCATTCAAAAACAAAATTATCACCTTAATTCTATATATGTATATATGTGTAAGAGCGATTATAAAAGAATATACTAAGATGGATTAGTGGAACAAACACTTTGGTGGACAATATGAAGTGGTGATTTTAATTGGGAGGTACCTTCCAATGTCATGGGGAGCAAAATGTACCTATGCTTTTATCCGTAGCACGGAACTTTGAAAATCTATTGTTATATATTTCATTTTTATTCCTTTGAAATAAATCTAAGTGGTGATGGTGATTTGAAGTCACCTTTGCAGATTTTTTGGGTTTTGTCTTCACATGGACTCGGTGTATTATAGTGGCACCTCTCACTAATTCATAAATCATTCAACCACTAAGAATAACATCATAACCAAAGAGAAATGCTACAGTCCCGTTACGGGACCATTCTATCGGGATTTGTAATCGTTAGATCACCATGTAACCGTCGTGGATAGTTGATCAAACGGTTACAAACCCCGACGAAATGGTTGCGTAACGAGGCCGTAGAATCTCCCATAACCATAACCATACAACTAACCATTAACCCGACAAACACACACACAGACAGACGTGTGCGCGCACACACACGTATATTTTGTTTGGTTGGCATCACTAAATGCCTACTTTGATTTTTTCAAAATATGCATAATTTTTTTTTTAAAATATCATATTTTAAAAAATGCATGAATGAAATTATAATATTTTATAGTATAAAATTGTTCTCACAGTATGACAGGTCGACTCGTCTAATGTTAGATTATCTCATACAAAAAAATTGTGGTTTTGTTAACAGAATATGACAGTCCACAACGCCTGGAGTTCCCATCGGCTGGTTTGAAACCGTGACTTGAGCATGATGTTGTCGGCGTGGCTTACCACCGTCGGATAGCTTGTTGAGTTGCCCCCTCAGTACCAAAAAAAAAAAGTTGTTGCCATATAACCAGAGGCATTATTCTTCGTTGATCGCTTTAATTTCAGTTTCTACATTAATACTATAATTAATATTCACTATTTGCAATTGCAATTGTGAGGTTAATAATCATTTATGCCCTATTTATTGGTCTAATAATCTATTGTAGGAAATATTTGTGGGGAGTATTCTACAGTTGAGACATTTGTATTATACTAATAAATCAAATCCTTGCATATTTAGGTGTAATTAAATCCTTTGGATTATTATTTAATTTGTAGGCTTTATTATTTAATCGTGAAACTTCCAGAAGCTTCTGGTTGATCTGTTGATATTAATTAGTGGATTTGTTTCTTATCGTACAAGCGAGCTGGAACAGTCAGCAAATGGAAATAAGAATTTGCAAACAAGATTTATTTAGAGACAAGTAAATTACAATTTTAGTCTTGTATATTTTACTATTTAAGTTTATTCGTCTTTTGAATTGTGTTTTTTATTTTCGTCTCGTATGTTTGAAAAAAATGTTACAAAAAGGTCATTTTCGCAACAAAAAGGTCCTTTATGTTCTGCAAAAAAATGTTTTAAATTCTTCCCTTACATATAAAAAGGATCTTTGTGTAACCTTTTTCTAAGCATACGGGACGAAATTAGAAACGCATATTTGAGGACGAAAAAATTAAAATAGTGAAACATACAGGACCAAAATTAAATTTGATTAATTAATAATAGTTTCATAATTTTTTGAATTGAGCATATTAGAATATGGAAAATGATACATTGACAACCTAGTGTACAACTAGGTTGATCACACAAGTCAAAGTATTTAAAAGGATAAAAAAAAAAAAAAAAAAATATACAAGTTGATGTTTCCACATGTGTTGTCAATCTAGTCGTACACTAGGTTGGCAATGTAGCATTTCCCAAAGAACTTGTGAGTTGTTCACATTGTTTGTACATGAAAAATAGGTATAATTTATAAGTCTAGTGGGTTACTCCTTCTTCTACCAGTTAGTTTTGGGATAGAACATCACTTGGGCTTCATCTGAGATTTTCCTGATTATGGTGCGATTCATCTGCGTGGGACTGCACCCGTTTTTCCCCGTTTTTTACATGGTATCATAGTCAGGTTTTATTGAGACCGTGCGATGACGTATCCGGTTCCCTGCCCAGTTGGGCTTGGGCTCTCGGCTCCGTATATGGGCTTGGGCTTCTTATGAAGAGTGATGGGTGTATTAGAATATTCACTTATGAGTTGTCCCACATCGTTTGTATATAGAAAATAAGTCTAATTTATAAATCTAGTTGGTTACTCCTGCTTCTACCAATTGGTTTTTGGATGAAATCTTTCTTTAACTTCATCTAAGATTTCTCTCCTTATGGTGCGCTACGTGGGACCACACCCGTTTTTTTTCCGTTTCTTACCGAGCAATCTGGTGATAATTTGTGCCCAATATTGTCAGAGAGTTCTTTAACATAAAATGATGCTAAAATGTGAGGGCATAAAATGATGAATCATAGAAATGAAAAAAAAGTCAATAGGATGTGAAGCTATACAAATGAAGATAATGTGATTAGACGAAGCACAAGGGCTCAATAACTTTGTGGGTTTTAAAAAACGACTAGTACTAATATTCATGTACAATTTGAGTGTTGAGTTAATGAATATATATGTAAAGTTATTTATGTTTAATACCAAACCTAACTCCAGAGCAGAAATAATATAAAAACAACATCACGAAGCATAGATTTTCGCCATGTCAGCATTCGAATCGTGAAAATCTGCCACCTAAACTCAACATGTTTTGAATTAATAGAGGGATTATATAAAACAAAAAAAAAAAAATGACTACTGATAAGTGGAGTTCCCACATCGGCAGCATTGATATCTTTTCGAACTAAGGAATCATGTCTCACTATACACTCGTTCAATTGGTTGGCTCTTGTAATCTTGTTAGGTTTGTGTCAAAACCTCAAAAGGCAACAATTTTTGCTTCACACTTTGTAGATTCACATTTTGCCCTTATTTTCACATAGAGCATGAGTAATAATTATGAGGCGGAGAACTTGTCATTTGATTTCATTTTCATTTATTTATTTATTTATTTATTGTTTTTTTTTAGTTACAATCAAAATGTGATTTAGTTACAATCAAAATTGTGTAACACTATTAGTTAGTTTTATATTTTTATTTTTCTAAATGAATAGTGATATTTGATTGATTAATGAGTTTGATTGTTTGAATACCAAGAATATTATAGCTATGTTTGGTAAAATTTAGTTGATAAGCTAGTTAATAGTTGATAAGTAGCTTATAGTTTAAGTGAATTTCGAGTTTATAACTAATAGCTTTTAGCTGATAAACTAGCTTATATGATAAAATTGTTTGGTAAAATTAGCTGGTAAGTCGACTGAAATAAAAATTTCAACAGACTTATTTAAAAAATTATCCAAAAAAACTTATTAGATAAACTCGAGTTTTTTTTTTTAAAAAAAAAAATCATACTACACAAACAAGTCTATTCATATACAGAAAGATTATAAACTAACAAAATAAGTTATAATAGCTAGTTATGGTGCTTACCGACACACTAACTTCAATGATTGGATCTCAAGAATTTGATCCATTTTTTCAAGCATGTGGTCAGGTTGATTCACGTTTTCTGAAGCGTGTCAAGCGTTTAATAAATGACACGTGTTCATAATAATATCGATGTTATTACACATCACCCATCCAATAAAATTAAATATGTGTTCATAATAATATCGATGTTATTACACATCACCCATCCAATAAAATTAAATATGAATTAAGCGGTTTTATTATAAAACTAACAATTGACTCCATAATAGAATCAACCTTCTATATACAATAAATAAACCTATCATATTCTCTGATTACTTTAATATAATTTGGGAACACAAAATCGATCAATTACAAAACTGAGGCAAAAAAGTTAGGGCTTGATTGTTTATGAAATAATTTGTTCAAAATGAGTTATTTTGGTTAACCATAGTTAATTTGAAAAAGGTGGTATGATTAGTTGTTAGTGGAATTTTAAAAATATATTAAAATAATATTTAAAATAAAATGATTAAAATTGATTTGATGTAAAAGTAAGAGATAAATGATTGTAAATGATTGGAAATGATAGGTAGTTAAAATTATGTGAGTGGATGAATAGTGAATTAAAGTTGATGTGATGTGTAAGAATGATTGGTTTGTATTNNNCAAAATTTCTGCCCAAACACAAAACACTTCTCCAAACACGGTCGATTATCGTGCCCATTCGACTAAAGAAAAACTCGTCAAAATATCATATCTCCAACTCCATTAACCATCTTTTCCAAGTCTTCCTGAGACAGAAGGGTTTTCTTACCGAGTGCCCCATTCTTATCGTAAGGCTGAGCCATCCTCCTCAAGAACTGCACATATTCGAAAAATTTCAAATGTTTACCTAGCGTATCTCAATAAATACAAATAGAATTCTTATTAAAAGAGAGGGAGAAAGAAATAAAATAAAATAAAAAGATGTTTGATTCTCGAAGATGAGTGTTTTTAAGATACTCAAATAGTTAGATACCTCTCTTGCAATATGCACTGCCATGTCCGTACTCAAGTTCAGGTGGGCATCCCTTAAATGTGACAGTATCCAACCAGGCAGCTTCGAACGTTTGTCATGGCGGCTATATCTGAACAATCAAAGCAATTTAAGAAATGACGCTAATTATCCTGTTTATAAGTCGAGAACATTTAAGGTTGTGTTTGGTAAAACTAGCTGATAGTTGATAGGTGATTTTCGAGTTTATAGCTTATAGCTGAAAAACTAACTCATATAATCGAAGTGTTTGGTAAAATTAGTTGATAAACTAGTTGAAATAAAATTTTCAGATAGCTTATTTGAAAAACTACCCAAAAAGCTTATTTGAATACAGAAAGCTTATAAGCTAACCTGATAAGCTATAAGTTAGCTTATTTGGTAACCAAACATAGCCTTGTAGAAAATGATGATCAACTAACCTCTTGTCAGCAAAAATCATCATTCCATAATCTGCCTTTGATCGAATAACTCGCCCTACACACTGGGCAGCTTGTCTCTGAACAAGCAAAATATGTCAGCGACTCAGCATACACAAATAAAGTAAATGATTTCTTAAAAATAAAAATCAAAGATAATTATTCTTATACGAAAATGCTGAAAGATTACCAGAGCATCGAAAGTCAGAAAGTCACCCTCTTTTATTTGGAATGTCTCGCGCAAATATTCCAGCCTTGCCAGCAATATTCTGCAATTACAACACTGTTACACCCCGCATCCAGATATGTAAACATTTGTAAACCATAAAATATGAGAACGAGTTAATAAATCGAAAAACAAACCACACTTTACATCACCGTATGCTGAAAGGTGATAAAAGCTAACCTGCTAAGAGTGTACTGGAAAGGAACACCAAACATTATTACAAGTCTGCCATAATGTCTGTCAAAATCGATACCTTCTGCCACTTTTCCCCTGCAATTGAGTTATGTAGTGGTCATAGAATGCACAGAATGAGAAACTCGGGTAATATTATCAGGTAATAGATAACAAATATAAGTTTTTTTTTTCCCCTATCATTGATGTCGATTCATGTTTTCGTACACAAAATCATTTATTTTTCTGCACTATACCCAAATCCCAACTGGAAATATAGTTTTTTTTTTTTTAAAACAAACGAGAGAAAAAAAAAATACCTAGCGACCGAGAAGAAAACAGCACCTCTTCCACAATCGCAAGCCCTGCGGTAATTGTCTAACGCCAGTGTGGTTTCAACAACATCCTGAGTCTCTATAAAGACGAGTTTATGCTGCATTATCTCCTACAATGCATTTTAAAATAAGACCCACCAAAATGAAGCCAATAAATTAAATGCATTGAAATAACTTATAAACTAAACTTGGGTTCCCATGAAAATATGTTTACCTTCAAAATTCCCGATTCATGCCAGCTATTGACAATTCCATCCATGTAAGAATAACTCACGAAGAAGCACACAATCCCGTCCGGAACAACAGACACCATTTCAAGCAAAAGTTTGCCGTAATTTTTCTCCACACCAGGGTCACTTCTCAGATCATACTTTGTGCTCACAGGAAGCTGATCACTATCCAGAATAAAATAAAATAAAATGAATAACAAAAAAGGGACACAAGAGAAAAGTCGTAACTATGAGGAGAACACTTACCTTCCACGAGTGAGAACCATTGGGCATATGCAATCCCTCGTTAAGGACATTGTAAAACTTCGACTGACCACAGGATTGAAATTAAGAAGACGGGGGTAAAGATCGATGGGGCTCAGTGTACCAGAAGTAATAACAACTGACTGGAACCTTTCAAAAACTGGCCTTATGGCTAGAGAAGCATCGTGACAACAGAGCTGCATTGTTTCAAAAGGAGGAAGAAAGAAAAGGTTGAAAAATTACTGGAAGTGATGGGGAAGCCCAAAGATAAACTTAAGTTCATAATCACATAAAACCCATAACCAAATGCAGGAGCAAGATTATATTATGATCAAAAGATCACGGACAATCAAATTATCAGCAAAAAACTGGTTAACTCTACATCACGTGATTGAAAGCAAACAATGTACCTGGAGTACAGGGTCAGGTATATGTGGCATTCTTTCATCAAAAGGCTCAATGATAATAGAAAATCCACGAGTGTATGTCCCCACAAGAGTCGCCAGATCGCAAATGGTTTGAATGTGTAAAAACTCGTCAGTATCGGTTATCTCCAATGTCAACAACAGCGAGTGAAGCCGGTCATAACAAAACCGTAGCATTTTCTGATCAATTCCTACTTGGGCATTAATAGAAGCAACAAAAGTGACGGGTCCCTCTTTCTCAACGTTTTCAGTCTGCAGCCGGCCTTTGAAATACTGTACAAGTCTGCGCAAGACAGATAAGAAGTGCTCTGCACGCCTTATATTTCCAGGTACTGCTTCCTTTAATATATCTTCGGGCAAAGTAGGATTTGCAAACGAGGAGTCACCAACTGCAAAGGGGGAAGATAATATTTGTGAGAATCAGTCCCAGAGTGAATTACATTATTAATTCAAGAAAATCACGAATTGGTAAGACAATATGTATATACTGGGAAGGTTCCCCCTTTGTGCCAACCCTTCAACGAGCCGATTGTATTCTGCACGAAGTCGACCAGCATCAGTGGCCTTTAACCTTCCTACCAAGGGAATATAGTTTAGATAAAGGTACTTACATGATGCTATTTCATCTATTTTTATAGTAGGAATAATCACACACTTCCGTACAAAAATAAAGCTCATACAACATTATTATCCTCGGAAATCTTAAATTTATTCAAAATAGCTATAAAATTCAGAAAGGAAGCCCCAAAACGACACATGCATTTTAATGGCTGATGAGAGTTGAGAAAGCGAGAGTTACAATTCAATTTGAATTTGGAAACAATATTCTAGCATACATCAATGCCTTTGTTCTTCAATGATAGTACTTGATATATATTATACACAATATCAAAAGAACATACCTATCGATCTCCTGAGACATCCTATTCAGATTCCTTGTTGCTCCTTCAAGAGTCTGCATTCTTACACTAACACTAAGGGCCTCAATGCACACATTGTCAATATTATGCGCCTCGTCAAAAACAACAACAGATTCTCTTTGCATCTCCTTTGATATGATTCCAGCAACCTTAGGATCAAGCAGGTACTGGTAACTATAGACCACCACATTTGCAAATTGAACCATATGGCGTGCTAAAAAGTACGGGCACCACCCTTTCTCTTTTCCAAATACCCTCAAATCCTAAATCGATTATAGACAGTAAATTCAACTCAATACCCATATTTAAAAATTCATACTTACAAATTTAAGTATTTAACAGATCATAGTACAGCAGAAAAGACTGAGCATAGCTTCCTGACAACCAAAAACCGATGCAAGAAAAACATAGTGCAAATCAAATGCCTTTCTTCACAAGCATCAACAAGATCGAATTTGTCGCCAATGAACTACAAAAAAACTGAACAATGCTGGAATTCTATTACAAATACTGCAAAACAACAGTTTAAGCTACAGAAGCAAAACCTGCAGCGTGTAAACTCCTGGAGGCAAAACCGCATCCGAACCCGCCTTCTCATAATCCTCGAAAAACTCACACGTGGGGGTATTCGGATTTTCGACTGCCAATGCCCTTACCCAGCTCGCTGTAAGCTTGCGGCAAGCTGCATCGACCGAATCCCGATTCTCAGCTGACACAACTCTCGGATTCACGCACAAGTTCTTCCTCGACGAGAGCCCCAACGCCAGGATCCTCGCCGAGGGGCCCAAACACTTGACCTGGTAATTGTGCAGAAACTTTAATTCGGCTAGGGTTTTCTCCATTTCGTGCACGGTGCGGGTGCAGTACAGAAGCTTCACCGGGTTAGAGGGCTTCGACAGGGCGTAGCTCGTGATTAGAGAAAGAAGGGCTATGGTTTTTCCGGTGCCGGTGGGCATCTCTAGGAGGCAATGGCCTTTGGCGTCGAGGGCGCGCTTGAGTTCGACCATGTAGTGGTATTGCTCGGGGTAGATGTTGTCGTACGGGAAGTATACGGTCACGTCCTCGATTTGGAACTTCATTTTCACGGCGGCGCCGGTGACTTGACGGCGGGGAGAGCTGGAAGTAGTGTTTGGGTACTGTGAAGAGATCGCCTGTGGGGTGTCGAGTTGTTGCAGTTTTGTGCGGCGTCGTTTCAAGACCTAGTTGTATTTGTAATTTTTCTCTTACAATAATTATCTTTGGTAGTTTAACGAGAATTTGGGTGTGTTTGTTTGACACGTATAATAAGCTAGCTTATAGCTTATTTGGTTAGCTTATAAGCTTTCTGTATCAAATAAGTCTCGTTTGGTAGGCGAGCTTATTTAAAAAGCTCGAGCTTATTTGATAAGCTTGTTTAGGTAGCGTTTCAAAATAAGCTAGTTGACTTTTTTTATTTCAGCTAGCTTATAAGCTAGTTTTACCAAACACTTTTATCATATAAGCTAGTTTTTCAGCTATAAATCATAAGCTATAAGCTATAAGCTAGTTTATAGCTTATCAGCTACCAGCTAGCTTATAAGCTATCAGCTAGGTTTACCAAACACACCCTTTGTGTTTCTAATTTTATATTGTGTTTCGTAATTTATAATGTTAATTTATGGTGTTTCGATTAGTATGAATAAAATATTTCGGAGTAGTTTCTGTAAATTAGGAATTTTATCTTTTATACTTTTAAAATTATAAAATTTAAATTAAAAATATATTTATACTTCTGATAAAGAAATTATATTTATATGTAAAAAAATAAACAATTAATTATCACATAAATATTGAATATATGAAATAAAAAATGATTAAATTTGCATTCATACATAAAAATTGATCTATATATCAATTCTAATTGTAAAATAATAAATGTATGGGTCATTTATTAAATAAATTATCCATCAATACAATTAAAGAATATAAGCTAGTAAGTATATTGACAAGTATCATTTACATAAAATAATAATAATAATTTTTTTTTTATAATTATTACAATTTAAAAACAAATACTTCTATTTTTTTTATTTTTTTAAGTATAATCAACACTTGTATGATACACACAAATATTGTACCACTAATAATACTTTTTAAAAACACAAAACATATATTCCTTTCACCTCATCAAGCTAAGACCAAGTTTTCCAAATTTGCTCGTCTTTGCTACAATTTCTTTAATTTTTCTTGAGAGCAAAATCTAATTGTCACAGCATAAAAGAAATATGAATGTATCATTCACAATTCACAACAAACAATTCCTCTTGGATTACACTTATATATGACTTGCAGAAAGCCAAACAAAGTGACAAATTCATATTCAATACAACTACACAAACATGCTCATTTGCAGTTGCATAGAGCAAAAAGACTTGGAGATTTCACAAACACAAAGTATTCATTGTGGTATGATATGCCCATATGCAAATCAAATTGCTCAAAATTGAGCAATCAATCTTCAGAAGGCGATATCCCGCAAGCCAAACCCTTGATTGTGTGCCTACACTGGAACCTGCCACATAAGTTAAACTAGTTGAAATTTAGAGGTCTTAATGAATTCAAACTTTTACGAACCTTACTGCTTAAAACCCTGCACACGCTACATGGGGATGACACACCGTACACAGAATAACAAAATAAACACAAAGGTAATAACTTTATTCTCCACAGTTCCAATTCTGATTCAAAAGTGACCTAAATAATCGAATGTGCATAAGTTTCCACCCATCCCATTCTTAAAAACCCCCAAAACATAAACTAGGTACACTACAATACACTGCTATACAGGATTAGAAACTAAACTAATTACTTTCAGATTTAAATCGAGACCATTTATCAGGAAATGAAAACCATAACATGTTCAGATTATTAGTTACCAGATCATGTCTTTTGACGTGGATTCCTCGAATCCAGCAGAACCAACACAATCATTCGGCTGATCGTTCATTTCCACATCTCGGGTTCTGCACCTAAATCTTAATCTCCACGGCACCTTCTGTAACGTTGTTTAAAAAACATCATCATTTTACTAAAGCATAATAGGAAAAGCAATCCGAAGCAAGTAAGCAACTAGTAGTCTGCAGCAACTATATCAGACTTAAGAACATGACAAATGCAAATTTCCACTTCCAACTAAAGCAACCACCATTAATGTAAGAATAGTAAACGGTAATTACAGACATGCTACCTTTTTATTTTGCCGAAAATCACGTTTGGGAAGAAAGTGTAGAGGCAGGCTAAGGTGAGAAGGAGCTTTCACCAACAGAAACAACTTTGTCGAACCTAAAAACATTTTTGCTAACAAATTATGAAGCGCAAAACGACAGAACCGCAACTTCAAGAACCAGGAAATAACTACTAAGATTACCAACATACGAATCCGATCCAGCACCCATTGATATCAACGTACGTATCGCCTATCAAAGGAAAAAAATAAATAAATAAATAAAAACTTCAGCAGCAATTCATCAAACACTTCATGCAACGAACTAAATGCAAATTTTACTACCAAATTCCATCACAACCTTTCGGGAAAGAGTCTCCGCAACTTTAGTTCGACCAAAATCACCCGAAAACGATTTCTCAAGTGGAAAACTCAGTTCATAAGTATGCAAAGGCCTTAGTGGACTAGGACCAAGAACCAGAGAAATCTTCTCCACATCTGGAACTTCAGTAATCACCAGCTGAAGGGCATTCTTGAGATTGGAAATGCAGCCCATTACTTTTTCTAACCTTCGAATACCCATTTTCACCTCTCTTCTCCTCGACGCTTGTTTTCTCCTCGTTGATAACGCCATCCCTTCGCTTTTCGCTAGCTCAAGCTCCTGTTCAATACTAAAATTTAAAAACCATACTCAAAATGTGCAAAAAGAAAAAGAAAAGAAAATATCGAATCTGGGGAGCTGCAAATGATGAAATTAATCACCAATTCTCGAAACTCGCCGCTCAAATCGTCGAACTCCTGGGTGATGTCCTGAAGTACTCTGCGCAAACAGTAGAACCCTATCAAAAAAAAAAATTGAAAAACTGGTGAAAATTACGAAAAGCTTCAGGTTATTGAGGAGATTACGAGGGGATCTGCTGGTGCATGAACAGGACGAAGCCGAGGACGTCGGCGACGACATGGAAAACGGCCGAGCAATCGAGCGAGTCGGCGGAGATATCGATGTTCATGGGCTCCATCTCCGAGCTACCACCGCCTTCTTCCATCGCCGCTGCAAATCTATCGGGAAAATAACGCCGGATTAAATTGATTTGTGATGAAATTTAGGGGTTTTTTTTTTTGTGTCAATGGGGTTTTTTTCCTTACGCTGTTCGTTCAAAAATTTTCGGTTGCCGGAATTATTAAAATACTTTCCTATATTTCCATTTAATATAATTGGGCCCACGTAAAATCCCTTCACCTTATGAGGCCCATCGAGTGAGACTACGGTATGTTTCAATCGCCATGGCCCAACCCATGATTTTTGGTCAAATTGTCTCTCTTCGCATCACGAATAAGATCGATTTGGAAAATAGCTCGTGGAAATTTTGTGTTTGTTAGGAATTAGGATTAGAGTATGTTCGGTAAGCCAAATAAGCTAGCTTATAACTTATTTAGTTAGTTTATAAGCTCTATGTATTAAAATAAGTCTCGTTTGGCTGACTAATTAACCGATTTGATACGTAACACCTCTTAAATAAGTTCAATCCCTTAACATCCAAACAGGGCCTTACTCGGTGACTGACTTAATTTATCACTTATTGCAAAATTCGAACAAAGTCGTTAAATAAAATTTTATTAAACAACAATAACAAACGGTTACATATAACATAGCATAAAAATAAATTTTAAAAACAAATATAATCAACCAAATGCATCTTGATAATAATTAATAAAGAAAAATACGGAACCTATTAAAAAAAATGTGGGATAAACAATCTTCCATGCATGCCCGCAACTTTTTCATTTTCAAACACAAAAGCAAAATTAGCTACTAATAATCCACGTACTCCATAAACTCTTTATCCACTTCCAAACCGGATAAAGTTTCCTCAGCCAAACACGCCTCAATTTCGACACTCCCTTCCTCCAAACCCCGCGAAATAGTTATCCGGCCGTCAAAAGCATTGGCGGCGCCGGCCCTAACCGCCACCGGCCTCCCCCACCCGAAATCGTTGCTGTAAACATCAAACCTCGGCGAATTTATCAGCATGAAGTAGTTTTCCGGTAGCCGGTCCAGCCTCTGCGGAT